TACAGTATGTCCACTGTAGAGGACGTCGGGACCATATTAGTTTGAAAAGACAGCCAAAATTAACAGATAGACTATGTAACGTATTATGGTTATAGAGTGATATTAATACAATAATACATTCACCTTTATTTAAAACATGAATAAGTAATTGATCTGAGCATTGCTGTTTATTTGGTCACTAAAAAAAATTGTTTGGTTTTTGGTGAATCTTTCCAGATCTTCAAAGACTTTGTAGTCAATGTAGTGGGAAAAGTACCTAATTGACTCCAGTCGGCACGGGCTGTAGGGTCATCTTGACTAGTTGTATGGATGTGGTCTCCATTTGACCATGCTCATAGAAACAAAGCTTGCATTCCTGAGGCAATTCTCATTTTTCATGGCTCCACTTAAAATAAAAACAACAATAAGACATACGTGCTACTCTTGGCCCACAGAGGGCCATGTCTTTCCAGCTCGTCCCTATCTGTCTCTCTGTCTGTATCTGTGCGCTCATGGAGCCACCTGCATCTTTCCCCCCCTTCTTCTTGACCCTCTTCTATCCCAGGTGTGAAATCCTCATCTCTCTCATCATCTGAGAGCTCAAAATCTTAATCTCCCTGAACTATCTGGTACAGAAAATGTCTGCTTCAGTTCCGTCTCCTGCAACAATATTGAGTCATAAAGTCCATGAAGATGGTCCTGACGTCCACTAGAATGGACATTTATAAAAGGGCTGTTATTTGAAAACTTGAGTTATTTAATTGCTTTCAGAACTAATTATATAGTTCCTCACATGTTAATAAACAAGAACATATATGATTTTCATGGTAAAAATGACAATTATTCAACAATATTTGACTTCTCCTCCTGCTTCTATAACATTTTGTTTTTGGTATCCCAGCCATTTTGGATGAAAAGAAAGAGGAACTTCCCAGCATGCAATTTTAACCAATGACATATCACTGGAAAGACCAGGATGTCCTCTGTACAGTACACCAGGGATTGATAGAGTAGCTCAAAAGAGTGAAAGGAGATGTATGTTAACAAAATGTCCACTACAGTGGACATTTTCAATGGGCTGGGTCCCAGGAGGATATGGTACCTTTAACAAATGAAGGAACACCTACTTTTTCTTCTACGTTTGTCTTTCTAGTGTTTACACAGCAGACATCCTATATTTAATACTGTGATTAAATATATTTACAGCTGTTTTTTTTATACATTACTGAAATGAACGCAATGGCAGCTTGATGACATGTACATTTATGCATGTCGAATACTACAGAAAATGGTTTGCAATAACATAAGACATATATAGTTAATGAGTTAACAGAGAATGTTCAGATATCCGCTGGTTTATAGAACTAGGATGCGAGCTGAACTAATGTGCTTCCTTTTGTCAAAGGTGGTGGACGACTCCCGTCAAACCAACCCCCCCGTCATGCCGCGGCCGTCCAGCACCTTCAGTGGCTCCAGTCGAAGTCAGTACCACGATGTGGTGCCTGTGGGTAGGTCAGGCAGGATCACATGATGCATGCAATATAAGCAAAGCATAAAGTTCCAAACACACGCTAGAGTCAGAGATAAATGCACATTCTTCCTGTTCCTCCAGCCTACAACGACAAGATTGTGGCGTTTCTACGGCAACCCAACATTGTTGAGATTCTGCAGGAAAGGCAACCCGAGCTGGCCAGGAATAACTCGCTCAAGTAGGACGCCCACTCTTCCTCTCCTTCTTTCTCATTGCTTCCTTTCTCTCTCTCTCTCTCTCTTTCGCTTACACCCAACACCTCCATTATCATCATCAGTCAAACTGAACACGCAGTTAACCTTTCATCCTAATGGACTGTGTCAGTTTACCCCCTGGTGTGTGTGTGTGTGTGTGTGTGTGTGTGTGTGTGTGTGTGTGTGTGTGTGTGTGTGTGTGTGTGTGTGTGTGTGTGTGTGTGTGTGTGTGTGTGTGTGTGTGCAGGGAGAAGGTGCAGTTTATTCGCAGTGAGGGGGTGACAGGGCTGGCTCGTCTCTCCAGCGATGCTGACCTGGTCATGCTGCTCAGGTGAGGCTGTACCTGTGTGTCAGTGTGTGGCTCTAGGGGACTTACTATTGGTCACAAGCAGCTCACTCCCAGAAAAACAGGGGTTGGGTATCGCCACTGATTCCCAGAAACAATATGATTCAATATCCAATTATACCCCAAACATGAAAAACCATATGCACATCTTACATACAGTATAGCTTTATATACGTATACATATAGTACAGCTGTTCCTTAATCCAAAATGCAACCAGACATCTGCCTTTAGGAGCTGCTCTTGGCTTATTTTTTGTCAGCAGATTACTTGTGCCTCTTGATACCATGCAAGACTAAAAAGCATCAACCACCCACGAGAGAAGGCGTATATTAAAAGATTGATCAGGGGGTTTATAAATCCAAATATCATCATTCATTTGATTGAAGATCAATTTAAAACATACCATTTATATATTTTTAAACCTAGCCGTACAGTCTCATTTGATCCACCTGTGTTAATGCCGTGTAGTTCTCAGAAGTCTGACTGTGTTCTGGGTGTGTCTCTCTCTCTTTCAGCTTATTTGAGGAGGAGGTGATGTCATACATTCCTCCGCTGCTTCACCAGAGTTACTGCCTCTCGTCTCCTCAGAGCTCCCCCGGTGAGTTTCACTCTGTCCGCTCAGCTTTATTGGCATGATGCCCCCTGTCTGGCCTTTATTAAATTCTCTCTTTTTATTAAATGTTACACCTTCCACCATGAGGTTCGGTTTACATTGGCTTTTCAAATAGAAGATGTAATTTCATATATAACACAGGTTGATATAAAACATAAAATTAATTTGCATACAAAAGACTACTTTAAACATAAACGCACATGTCATTTTTTCAATGATTCAATATGCAGTAGAGTAAATCTTGAATGATGTACAGAACTATATCTAAGTTTATTTTTTTAATTTAAAATGAAGCTACTTGTTTTACTAGACGGGTATTGAATAATCCGGTTGTTTCTTGTTTTTGTGTGTACTGTTAAGGATGCCATATCCTCTGTGGCCTGTGTGTAAAGTGCTGTTAATATATTATGTGGAAGAGGAGCGACTGTTGTTGAAGCAGCTAATGAGAATCTTAACTAATATAAACCTATACACACACACACACACACACACACACACACACACACACACACACACACACACACACGACGGACACGGACACGACGACCGACGACGACGACGACGAGAGAAG